GGCATACACCGTGTAAAACACCATGGTAGGCCTATAGTCCTTTTATAATATACAGCTAGACTTAATACTGGTACTACTACTATAGACCAATGTAAGCCGATCTTGTCCGTGCATAATAAGCTTTGATCAAAGAGAGAGAAAAAAAGGAAGCATATCATAACACGTACCACTCCTTCTCGAATAAGCCTCGTATAATAACTAAGAAGGTAGCAAAGAATTAAAATTGCAACATTGTCTGTAATTGCACTACTATTACAGGCAAGAGATCGAACATTGTTCCAACAACTATCAGCAATGCACACCGTCACTGCATAAGGTTGAGTGCCGGTATGCAGGCATTTAGGGGTATTGTTATTATTCATGAGGGTTGTTTCATTAGTTCCTATTGGTCGATTCATGATCAGGGTAGTATACAAACTGTCTCTTATACACATCTCCCATTTGATGAGGCTGAAGTGATTAAAATACTTGCCTCTTTTAAAACCAACAAATCCCCAGGTATTGATGACTTCCATACTAAAGCCATCAAATATATTGCTAATCTCATCTCTCATCCATTATGTCATATATTTAACATTGCCTTAACTAATGGAGTATTCCCAGGCAGGATGAAGTTAGCGTGCGTCACCCCTGTTTACAAATTGGGCATCAAATCTGACCTTTCTAGGTATCGTCCCATTTCAATTCTATCAATTTTTTCGAAGGCCTTGGAAAAGGTAATTTACAATCAAATTTTCTCATTTATTTCTAAATATGATATACTTTACAAATAGCAGTTCGGTTTCAGAAAAGGACATAGTACCTTCATGGCCCTTATTGATCTAACAAACAAAATTTGGATTTGAAAATCGCCATCTTGCAATCAGACTTTTTATAGATCTTTCCGAGGCCTTTGACAAAATTGATCACAATATTCTTTTATTTAAATTATTCCATTATGGCATTCGCGGCCCCGCACTTACCCTTTTCAAAAGTTACCTCTCCAACAAAATATTCTACCTCTATATCCAGTTACAGACCAATCACTTGCAGAGTTGCTCAAGGTTCTTCACTGTGTCCTCCTCCTTTTTATTTTGTGCATCAATGATATCCATCAATCCTCTAACTTAATTTCTTTCTTTATGCTGATGACACCACTGTTTTTTATTCTGATCATTATTTGATACTGTCAACTCCAATCTGATTCCCATGTCACAATACTTTGCTGCTAATAAACTTTCAATTAACCATAATAAATGTAACTTCATCCTGTTTGGGACCCCACAGAAGTTGAAATGTATTGATACCACCACTTTTAATTTTTTTCTCGACAACTATGACATACCCTCTGTTCAGTCAGCTAAGTTCTTAGGATACATCTTGACAGTGGCCTTACATGGAAAAAAACATATCAACAAAATAGGAACAAAGTTTCAAAAAGCCTTGGTATTATTTTTAGATTATCCACATTTCTACCCCCCTAATATTCTTTGTAATTATTGCTCCCCAATCCTTCCTTATTTGAGCTACAACATTGTTTGGGGTAATACTTATTTATCCAATATTAACAGACTTCAAATTCTCCAAAAAAAAAGCTATTAGAATTATATTTGGTGCTCCACCACGGTCTCATTCCTCTCCCTTATTTTCTAATTTAAACCTTCTTAAACTCTCTGATACTAACCATAATCAAAAAGGTACTTTCTTATACACTGCCATTAATTCCTTTCTCCCCAAACATCTAAGTAATATGTTTACCCTCAGTCACTCCATTCACAATTATCGTACTCGATCCAGAAATGATATTCACATACCTACTCACAACAACTATTTTCAACACAATATTAGAGACACCGGTCCTATACTCTGGAATAATTTTAACCATCCCCAATTTTAAACTCAGTTTCCATGAGGTCTTTTACCAAAAAACTCAGGAATCGCCTTGTTTTTTGCAATACTAAAATTAATTTGATCGTGACTCGCTTTGCTGCTCTTTGGAAGCGTCTTTTGCTGTCTTGCTTTTATGTGTTTGTGTTGTGTGTTGGTTTGTTTGTTTGATTGTTTTTTGCATCTCTGTGTGCTCTTGTAATTTTATGTTAAGGCCTGCATGCCCAACACAAGATTTTTTTGTATTGAATCTTTTCGGGCAAGTGTCTTCTTCCTTTTCATTTTGTTTCATAAACCCATTGTTTTTAATAATTCCTGTTATTTGACTGCAAATGGAAAAAAAGGATGATGTGATTAAGATATGGAATAACATTTCTGGAAATACTAATTAGGTTATTGATGCGTATTGAAGCGAAAATTTACCCTGACAACTGTTTCAGATTAATCATTTCAATCTTATACCATTGCAAAGAATTTCATGTAGCTGACTTGAATTTGTTGGATTTGGAATTAAAAAGGACAACATTTTTCAGAATTTGGCATCGTTTTTCTGGAGTTTTTCTAGGCTTACTAAGCAAGTAAATGCATCGGTGCTTCAGGAGCCCAAGCCATCCTTTGTCTTAATATCAACTGTCTATTCAGTAGGGCTAACCAAGATAACCAGCCTTTTGTTTCAAGCTTGGACCAACAATAGTAACAGGAAACTGTAGTGGATAAATTGCTTTCAAGTGGCTCAGTTTGCAACCTAGCCTACACCTTATTGATGCCTTTAATGTCCTAACTCGTAGCAGATATGTCAATCAGACATTCCATTAATGCTACTATATTTCTATTATTGATTGGATTATTGTCAAGACTGGATGAACTTAACCATCGCAAAATGCCCGGTAATCAGAGAAATGAACTAAAATGTGTTATGTTTAATGCTAGAAGCATTAGAAACAAACAAACTGAATTAATTGCTAACATTGAAAGCACAAATCTGGATATGATATTCATAACAGAAACTTGGTTTTCTCAGAATGACACAGATCTATTGCACACTATTCCTGGATTTTCATCATTGTGACTTGACAGACCTACTGATAAAATAATTGGAGGAGGGGTTATGATCCTTGCGAAGGAGACACTTTCTCTATTTATATTGATGACTTTAAATCTGATCTTGAACTACTAACGTTTTCATTGAATATCAAAAATATGAAGATGCTTATATCACTGATTTATCGACCACCTACAGTAACTCTGGAAGTTCATTTTTTGACAAGTTTCAAGAAATGTGTGATAAATTTCAAACATCAATCACTGATTACAACTGCTTCATGTTGCTTGGCGACTTCAATATCGACTGGAGATTCTAGAGATTATAACCTTAAGAACTCATTATGGTATTGATGAACAAACTTGACTTGACTCAAGTAGTAACCGAAAACACTCATCCTTCAACACATAACTTATTAATACTGTAGGTACAACAATTGATCTCATCTTCACAAATCGTCCAGAAAACTATAAACAAATTAATGTTGTATCATCACCGGTGCTCAGCAACCACCATGCAGTCTCATTTACTATTAAGCTAAGACATCCAATTCCACAGCCTTCGATTTTTCGTTCATACCTTCAGTACAGGAAAGTTGACTTGCAGCACCTTCAAACTCTTCTACACTTAGCACCCTGGTGTGCCTTCATGGATGAAAATGATGCTGAAAATTCGTGGGAAGGGTTTATGGTCCTAATCGAAGCAGCGATACACAATAGCATCCCAAAAATAAGAAAGCGCTGCAAACACCGTTCACCATGAATTAACAAAGACATCAAAAAAGTCATAAATAAGAAGCAAAAACTGTTTAGGAAAGCAAAAAGACTAGGAAACAATGAATCATGGGAGATTACAAAAAAGTCCGCAATGAAGTAAAGAACCTGTCAAAGAAGGCTTACAATGATTATGTGAACAACCTATTTGCCAAACAAGACAATAAGCGCAGCTTTTGGTCCTTTGTCAGAGACAAGAAAAAATCAAAAGTGCCCATCAACATTCAACTATGCTGGGGAATCTGTTCATGAACCGGTACAAATTGCTGAATTATTTAATCAATATTTTGATTCTATTAATGCTGAATCCGAAACAATACCCGACACTCCTCCAACCTGTGATCTACCGATTCCAGTACTCTCTGAAATTCATCTTGATGTCAATAAACTCGCAACAGTACTCTCTAAACTTAAACCTAACAAAGCAGCTGGACCTGATGGCCTATCTCCACGTATCCTAAAGCTTGCTACACGCCATTTCTCCTCCACTCTTGAAGGTAATGAAAGCTACACTTGACACCGGAAACCTTCCTAGTCAATGGAAACTTGCAAACCTAACACCTATTTACAAATCTGGATCACGAACAGACATCAAGAACTATAGACCTATTGAGCTAACACATGTTGCATGCAAGATTTCAGAACGTCTCATCTCGGACGAAATCAACCAACATTTACAGTAGATACCTACAACCTAAGAAATGACAATCAACATGGCTTTGTCAGCAAGAAATCCTGTACCACACAACTTACAAATGCCGTTCTTGACTGGGCTAAAACTTTAGATGAGCAGTCACCCCACGAATCGATTTGATTTTCTTGGTAAGGCTTTTGACCTGCTACCTCATGACAAACTACTACAAAAACTGACCCTAAAATACAACATTACTGGTCAAATTTGGCAGTGGATTCAGTCTTTTTTAACATCTAGAAAACAGCGAGTAATATTTCAAGGGGCATCATCTTCGTGGTCTAATGTAACTTCAGGCGTTCCTCAAGGTAGTGTATTGGGACCCTTATTATTCAACCTGTTTATAAAAGATATAGCTTTTGATATTCAATCTAAGACCCTGCTCTTTGCAGATGACACTTTAATTTATAAGCCCATCTACTCATTACATCTACTCATTACATTACGAGTTAAATCTACAACATGATCTTGACAAGTTAAAAAATTGGAGCATTGTGAATAATATGCACTTCAATACAGGGAAATCAAAGGTGATGCACATTACACGTTCTTCGAAGAAGAAACATGCACTACCAACATATCATATGGGTGGATCAAACCTCTTCGTAGTCACTTCATATAAGTATCTTGCATTAACAATAACCGACGATTTGAAATGGAATGAATATGTAAATATAGTTGTGAACAAAGCATCAAGGCTTTTGGGATTCTTATGGCAAGTCGCTGGTCATTGTTCAACTAAAGCCCTGTGTTCCTTGTATACAACAGTTGTGCTACCGGTATTAGAGTATGGTTTACCCTCATGGAATCCATATACTGAAAATCTGTCTTTAAAAATAGAAAGAGTAAACAGAAAAGCTACACGGATGTGCCTTCACCAAAAAAGGCTGGAAATGGCATATGATGAAAGATTAAGGTGTCTCTATATGACCACTCTTGAAAACAGAAGGAAACAAAACACTATATTATTCACCATTAAATAAGGGAGCCTTGCAAAATAAAGCAACGCGTATAGCCGTCTACAACGCGTGGTTGGGGATTATAATCTCTTTGCGTTGCCAACGAGTGGTTCAAGATACTGATCAAAAATGTTGGAAAATTCCATTTTGCGAATTAGGGTTCGTTTTCCGACATTTTTGTTGTACTTGTTTGCGTCGGTTTATCTCGTGATTTTGATGTACTGTAATTTATCGACAAGTCTCTTTCCTATGTTTTGTCATAAGTTTCACTCGTTATTATGAATTAATTTTAATAATATATCCTGTCATTTGTTATTGAGCTATTCTGTAAAATTTAAAACCGAAATGTCTAATACCAAGACTCGAAGCCCACTGAAATTTCCTATACACTTTTATACTGTATTATAATCAGGCCAAACACATGTTTTTGCCATGGATATTGACGGGATAAACGTAATTTAATGCCAGTATATTGCTTTTTCTAGAACTATTCATAGGAACATTCCCACGCTCTGCTGCTATGGAAATACAGACTGAATCAAAGTGTATGTGTCATTGATCTTGCTGCCGGCCGAGTTATGCATAGCTCAAACCCTTTGTACGCCGCCCGGTGTTATAACCAGGCCAAACTCATGTTGTTGCCATGAGCATGGAGGAATAAACTCGTAGTGACAAGATAAACGCAATTTAATGCCAGTACCTGCTTCTTCTAGAACTATTTATATGAACAGTCCCACGGTTCTGCTGCTATGGAAATTGACTATTAAGGGTCATTGATCTTGCTGCGGGCCGAGTTATGCACAGCCGTACCCTTTGTACGGCGCCCAGTGATAACGACTCGACGTTACCATGGAAAAGCATAGAATAAACTAAGAAAATATCAGTCTCTGAATTTTTGTGTGCAATTAAATCTTGTATTTATTATTTTCTATATGTCTCATTTTCAATTATATTTTATATTTGTTATATATATTTGAAAATGGATTTGGTACGATACAAATAAATTAATTACAATAAAGACAACAAGGAAGTGACAAACAGAAATTAAAAATCAAACAAGAACAGCTCATTCAGTAGAACATAAATTAAAGAATTAGCGTAAACAGTTTATTACATGAACATAGGCCTGATTAGTGATCAAGATCTATTGTGTGTGTGTACAACAGTCGCTTGTCTGTTTTCAAAATGACCTACAGAGAATGAATGAAAATAAATGGGGAAAAAATAATGCCACCCTAGCTTAGCCTACTGCACTAAATTCTGATATTCATCGTATATGTTGAATATTTATTGGCGGTCACTGTACTTTATTATGAATAGGACTACAAATAGTAGTATCAACAATTGAAAACTACTTTTATACATTACCAGTGCATTTTATAAATGAAATTAAAATCCCTGTAGTAAAATAACATAGTCATTTGGTACATTCAAGCGTTTAAAAACGATTTAATGATTATACATTTTAAGTTAAATTATTTTGAAAAATTATTATAAAATTAATAACCCATATGGAATAGTAGAGTCCATGGTTAATCAACGACGCAACAAAACATATGCTTCGCTGTTTGAAAAGGGGTGAAAGCAATACATTGAACAGCAATCTAGAGAAAACACGGAGAAAACAATATTTTACAGTATACTGTACAATACACCTTTTAAAGAGCCTTGTAATCATATATAATAAATATATTCTTTTACACTAAACTTCGAGATTAATCAGCATTGAAATAGAATAGTCTAGGTTTGTGCCGCATCAAAACATGTGTTTCATCGGTAGAAAGGGGTGAGAACAGTGCATGTAACTGCTAGCTGGAGAAAATTGTTTTTGCTTTTTTTGAAACGTTTCTCGTTACATGGATATAATGTTCCACCAAAGTTCCAGATTAATCAATATTAAAATAGATAACATATAGGCCTAGGACAACTGCTCACATTTATATCAGATAAAGGTACTAATATGAAGTTCAATATTTTTTTTTGTATTTCGCTAACACTGAAGGAAGTGTACCCTATCTACGTTCATGCTCGAAAGTAGGCCTACTGCTGTAGACCGATATCTGTCTGTCGTCCTAGACAGTTTAATTTAATAATCTTAATTAATACTAAAACGATATAAGAAATGATAATTTTAAAGACTATACTGTAAAAAAGATATTAGGCCTAACAAAAATTCATAAAAATTGCCTGTTTTTGATTTTTAATTTTACTCCGTAATTTTTCTGAGTAAGCCAAAGCCTAGGCCTATCCATGGAGGTATAATATCTATGTCTTAGGCCTCTCCTAGTTTTATATTTCTGCTGTCTGTTGGTTTTGATCGTAACGGTGACGATAATCTCGATAAATTATTAATGTAATTCTCAGAAATATAACGTGAGCTTGCGTTACTTCCAATAGAGTTTATTTTTATATGAGACGTTTTTGTTTGTGTTAATTGGGTTTTTACACTAAGCCTGTTATCAATTCCCCACTACGAAGTGGAGTAGCCCAGGAAAATAATCCCAACACGTGGCCAACTATGGGATTAAACTGCCTTTAATCGCATCAGGTGGTCCACTCGTATACGTGTTGCTTTATTTTGCGAGGCTCCCTTATCTGGATACATACAATGCAATTCCATTCTATCAAACACAATGGTAATATCCAAGATACACTGACTTGCTAACTTTTAACACCACTACGCACGTACTGAGGTGCGAAAATACTGCACCATCAACGAGTTCCAGCGGTTGTGGTCAAACCTACCAAATACTCTCAAAGCCTCTGTAGTACTGGACAATATCTCAATGTATTTACTGTAAAATTGAAAGAACATTACAAAACCATTATCTAATTAATTTATTTATATTTGGGTGTGTGTGTATAAGTATGTACTGTATGTGTGGGTGTATGTATGTGTGTGTCTTTGTGTATTTATGTATATATATATATATATATATATATATATATATATACTTTGTGTAGGCCTATATATATTGATTTTATTTTTGGTTTTTTGGGGTTTTTTTTTTTGTTTTTTTTTAAATTTGTTTGTGTATTTTTTTTTCTGTTTATTCTTATAATTTTAAATTAATTTTTTTTTTGCAATAATGATTAAGTCTCATTTTTAAATTTCTTCTGTTTTTTTTCCTAAATTATAAATTTTTATTATATATTATATCTTCTATTTAATATTGCTGTTTCTCTAAGGATGGATTAACTAGTCTGAGCTACAGCGATTTTAATTGCTTTTGTTAAACCTTGCTTGAATCAGTACCAATTTAAAAAAAATCTTAATCTTTTCCATGAATTACTCAGGCATTTAAACAAATGTGTGCAAAGGAAGGAAACTATATCAAAAATTTAAAGGATCTAAGAAATAAAGACAATATACACTAGTCATTGTGAATATTTACTTAATATTTTCAATAATGCTTCTACCAATTTAAAGCAATTTTGGACTAATACATAAGATCAATTATACAAGACTCTGAAATTATCAGTTTTAAAATAAAACAATATAGTTACAAATGCAAAAGATATTGCAACTTTGTTCAATGAACAATTTGCCAAAAATTTCTATAATTATTGTGATGATCAGTGATCTGAAAAAAGAATTGTGTATTGATCTTGGAACTAATATGGAATTCAAACCTTTTGAAATTTCTGAGGTTTACTATGCTTTGTCACAGCTTAATGCATCTAAGTCTCCTGATCCGGATGCTTTACTCCCCATTTTTTAAACAGTACAAGACTGAATTAGCTACCGTTTTATGTAATTTCTTTAATCTATCTGTGCAAGTATGTAAATTGCCTAAGCCCCCGGTATTCAACCCCAGTCCCGCGTGGCAACTCAGGCCCGCCAAAGATTTCCTTTAAAAATCAGGGTACACATTTTTTAAATTCAATAATTTCTATGTACAAGTTAACAATTTGTATGTTATTGCAAAATGAGCAAGTTTATTTCAAACTTATTTTTTATGATTTTTTGACATTAGCAAGGGACAATACATCTTTAAGGTATACATTATCTATATTGAAAAACTGGCCTTTTTTAAGCATGATGCTGACCCTTTAACTGCTGGTCGTAGAGCGGTTGCTAAATCATAAATCCATAGTACTTGCGGTCCCCTTTAAATGTAATAATATCATATTTAAAGAGTACTGTATAAAGAGTGTTGATTGCATTTTTTTAATTATAAAGTTTTTCTGTATTTTATCATATTTCTATTTTAGCTTGCTATATTCATATGTATGTTTGTTGTCTTGTTTTTGTTTGCAGAGCCTCTTGGTAGTAATTCAGTTTACTTTAAGTTTATTGCCAGCAAATAATAAATGAAATGAAACTGAGTAATGACAGTGCGTGTGCATTACAGTAGCTGTGCAAATTAGAATGATTTATTAAAGTACAGTAGTATACGCACTGACACTATTTGCAAAGCCTCTTCGTGATACTTGGCTATACGAAAAAAAAGATGAATAAATTGATTGTGGTTAGCCTACTGAAGTTAATTAGGGGTTATTAGGTAGGCCTAACCATCTGGCAGACATTAGATTAATAGATTAAAATGTATTGTAAACATTATTATGAATTATTTTTTCAATTCTTTTATAAGTCGATCACCTTGTTATCTCATAACCATTGTGTCTTTCTAGGCCATGCTTAGGACGGTCTAGGCTTCATTCGTGTTAACCACACTGTAGAGCGAAATTTGTTAGGTTTGCTGTGTGCGTTTATAGCTGGGCTTAGCAACAAAATATTCCATCGCATAGTACTGTAGCAAAATCACGCCAGCTTTCAACTTTTTTGCACACAAGACACAAACAATTGGAGGCACTATATTGATGATTGGTCAGTCGGGAATAGGAAAATTCAGTGCAAATATAAGTGATGAAGTCACCACGGACTTCTAATAAAAAATAGACAAATTAGACTGGTCTATAAAGTGGTAGTTTCTTGCTCTTTGTTTAGTAGATAAAGCAATGCAAATTAAAAATATCAAGAGCAGCAACAAGTATAACAACAGATTTTACCTTTACTTTATAGTATTCTTCCTTCAACTACCATTTTCTTATTTGTATCTACAGGGAACATTCAGCAACTCTCAGTGTGTAATTGTGAAAGGATTTGAAGAGCATGAAAATCAAGAGACAACAAAAGATAAATTGGAGATTTTTCTAACCAAACAGAGGAATGGGGGTGGTGATGTTAAGCAGATTGTATATCCGTTTGGAAATTCTACCAGCAAAGCACTGGCAATTTTTTATGATACAAATGGTAAAAAAATGTTCAGATTGATGGAATATTTTGTGATACTTTCTGATGATACTAATAAATCATCATCTAAATTGGTAGTCAGAATTCTTGTTAATATACATGCCTTTTCAGGGCAGAGGGGGCAGGGGTGTAAAGAATTGAATCGGCCAATTTAGATGCCAAATACAGTATATATGCAAGAAGAACAAATCTATTGTTTCTATCCTTGATAATTGTGAAAGAATGACTCTGTATAAACACACTAATATTAATGTCTAAAAATTTTAACAAAAAATACTGAAGTGGCAAGTACAGTATGTCTTCAGATTATTTCACACACAGCTCAATAAAATTTTGAAAACTCCTGACAAACCAGTAACTACATGGAGAGAAATTGACTACAAATTGGAAAAATTTGATTTATTGAACTTAATATCTAATTGCATAGCTTGGAATGAGCAAGTAGGGATGTCATGCAGTGCTATAATTTTTGAACAAACGTAGACAAAATTCAACAAATTTGAGAATGAAGTGTGGAGTACCAAAGAAGTTGGCCTAAAAATACCAACTCAAAAGTCTATTTTTTCAAAGTTTCTTGCCAACTGAACTTAATTTTTAATTCATGTCTTCCAAACATTTAATAAATTTATCCTCGGTCAGCTAAATATTAGGTGGTAGGGTGGCATTTCCCAAGTCTGATGTTTTTGATTACCTTTTTATAACCTTCAGTTTTAACAATGTGCGTATAAAAATACTTTTTCTAATTTTATAGTTGCAAGGTCTTTGATAAAAGCCAAGAAAATGTCTGATGGTAAAGGACAGAGTCTTGGGATATATCCTTTCGAAAAAGTAAGTGAAGTAATCCATCAGCAACTTTGAAAATTCTTTTCCACAAATTAGGAAATTGATTTAAAAAGAAAATAATTTACTTTCAAGTGTGATAAAAAGTAGAAATAACGGCAGCAACTACTAGAACAACAAAAGATTGAGTGGATATACTGACAGTATAATCTATTTAATCTTTTTCTAGTACTGCCTTGTCAAGTAATCTCTCTTCAAATGTCATATGCTTTCACTTTGTGTAGAAATAAGTAATTACATTGGAAGTGTTTTAAAAGAAAGATATTGTTCATTAGATAATGAAGACAACCCAAAAATAGACAAATTGCAGTGGTGTGCACTAGGCCTAGTGAGTATGTTAATTTTTTGTGGATAGGGCAATGCATAATTTTGCTTTTGATTTCTATCTAAAGGAAACATTCAGTATATCCCAGGGTGTGATTGTAAAAGGATTTGAAGAGCATGAAAGTGAGGAGCAAACCAAAGATAAATTAGAAATAATTCTGACCAGACAGAAAAATGGGGGTGGTGATGTTGAGAAGATTTTATATCCATTTGGAAAATCAACCAACACAGCAGTGGCAGTATTCACTAAAACAGAAGGTAAAGAATTTGAAACCAACAATAAACCTTAATGAAAAAAATTAGATACAAAAGATATATTTTTTGCCAAAAAATGGGAAAAAACTTAATCATTTAATGAAAGAGCTGAATACAGTAGCTCATTTACATGTGTCCAATAAGCTATTAACAGATGAAAAAAATGTTACTACTGTATTTACAGACATTTTCTACAAAAGACCTTTTTGATTGCCAGCCAACTTAAGGGTGTATGTAATAATATACAGCAAAGATGTTGTTTTAAATTTATGTTAATTGATAGAAATTATTTTTCTCATTCAAATTTTAAATGTTAATTAACTTAAATTTAGCAATTTAAATATGGAATTGAATTTTCAGTTGTTTTTAACCATAACAGACTTTACATTTTTGCATACAAGTTTCTGATAAAGGCAGGAGGGGTGGAGGATTAGGAGAAAATCAGTTTACATAAAAGATCTATTTTTTATGATATGTTTAAAAATAGATTATAAAAATATTATTTGCATTGCAAAAAACTGGCCCCAGAGAAGTACAGGTAATTTATTTAACTGATTGATTCTTTTGACTTTTTACCAATTGATCATTTTTTGGTTGACTGATTATTGATCAGTTTATTAGAAAAAAAGGAGAATCCACCCCTTCTAAGCAGCTTTCCAATATTTGTACTATATATTTTTTAATTACCCATATTTATAATTGTTTCTTTTTTTAATTTATTTTTACATAATAGTTGCAAGTTCTTTGATAAAGGCCCAGATTATATCTGATGGTAAAGGACAAAATCTCAAGATCTACCCTTTAAAAGTAAGTTTTTGTTTGTTCCTTATACAAATTAAAATGATTCATCATTAGCTTTGGAGGTGGTGGTGGTATGCAAATTTATGGATGTGGTAGTGACAATGACAAAAAATGATGAAGGTGATTATAGGAATGATGAGAATGGCAAGGATAATGATATTGAGGATAACAACACTATCTATACCGCATATATCCTCTACACACTATATAAAAGTATATCTATAAATTTACACAGCTTAATTATTTGGAATTCTGTTAGTATTATCAAAATGATATTTTCTCCTATTTTAAGAATACAGCATTAAAATAAATATATTCTCATGAATTATATTGACAGGTATGTCAGCAAATGAAGACATTCATATTGGAGCTTGGTGAAGCTGTTGTTCAACTTGAACCAACTCTAAAGGATCACATATTTAGTGCCATTGACGTGAAAGGAAGATTTCTAAAAGATGGGCAGAAACTGATGTTAGATGAAGAAGAGGATATATGCAGAGTATATAAGCATGTGTCTGATAGAATAAAAGGATTATTAAGCAGTTACCTCCTCAAAGTAACTGGTGAAGATAACTCCAACATTCCTCATGATGATCTCAAAAGAATGGCTGGCAAAAGCAAGCAGGCTGGAAGTGCAGATTCCCAGCAAGTTGATAGACCAGATTTCTTGGTTTATCAGTTCTTTAAGAATTGTCACAAGGATAAGGTAAAAGAAATAGAGAGCAGCCATGATGTCACTATCACATGGATGCCAGATAAAAATGAATTGGCAGTTCAGTCCAACAAACCTGGAGATGATACAGACAGGAAGGTTGCTGAAGAAAGATTTAGAGATCTGTATCAAAAAATACATCCCATAATCAAACAGCTTCAAGTGGAAGATGTTCAGCGTGTTGAGGCTCAGAAAGCTGAAAACAAAATAACAAGAAAACATGCTGATGTTTTGATCTTACCAAAGGAGTATGTGTTCATTGGAAGTGAGGACAATGTGGAACTAGCAATCAAAGACTTCAAAATGTTATGTGAAATCACTACATTTGAAAGAAGTCTTCAAGATGATGCTGGCTTACTCCTTACTGATGTGGAGTACACAATAGGCGGGGTAAAAGTCATCATAAGACATGGTGATATCACTAATGAAAATGTTGATGTCATTGTCAATGCTGCCAATGGGGAACTTCAGCATGGAAGTGGTGTTGCAAAAGCCATTGCTATGAAAGCTGGTAGACGTATCCATGAAGAAGGTCAAAGGTTACTTAAAAAACGACGACATGCCTTGAATGTGTCAGAGGCCTTACACACTAATGGGTACAATCTGAAAGCAAAATATGTATTACATGCTGTTGGACCAAGATATGGGAAAAACCCTAACTTTCAGAGCTTGCTGAAGAAGACATTCTTGAATTGTCTAGAATATGCAGATGAAATACTTGAAGCTACATCCATTGCAGTTCCATTGATTAGCTCGGGAGTATTTGGTGGAAACAAAGAAGAATGTGCAAAACTGCTGTGTGAATCCATTTGCCAGTCAGTTCAAAGTGAGAAATGTCAGAATCTCAAAACAATTTGTCTTGTGAATATTGATGTTGAAGCAACAACTGCAATCCAAGATATGTTTAAAAAATATTGTGTTGAAAATTGGGGGCAGTCTTGTCAAACCACTAATGTCCGTTCATTGCAGAGTAGATTGGCCACCTCTACACTACCCAGAGCTGAAACATTTAGTCGCAATTTGTATTCTACACAGACTGTACATAAGGAGAGGATTGATTTTACCCAGACTGCAGTCCATCAGAATACTCACAGTAAAGATCAGATGTCTAAGGTCAGAGATGGTTCAAAATTTGAAGTTCCTTCTTATGATGAACAAAATAAGAGAAATAACATACAGGAGCAAACAAGTAACAGAGCCTGGCAGCCATTTACCAGTACAAACAATGCAGCAACTCATACAGCTGGTTCTGTTGCAATGGATGAGGAGGAGAAATGCCCTATTTGTTTTGATAAACTGACAACAACAATGAAACGGCTTCCGTGTGGGCACAAGTTTTGTAGAAATTGTATTGAGAAAGCCTTAAGCATGAAACCAGTTTGTCCAATTTGTGGCAAGGTGCTTGGTGCATTGATAGGAAACCAACCAAGAGGATCTATGAAAACACTTTACTGTTCTAACTTTAGCTTACCTGGTTATACAGGGTGTGGATATATTGAGATTACTTATGATATTCCTTCTGGAATACAAACGGTATTGTAACTCCTTTATGTAATTATAAATTTCAAATGAAAAAGTCTAGTCTTGGTGCAGTTATTCTGAGGACATTGAACATTTTCAGTCTATAGGACTTTTATTGCATACAGTTTTAAAAATTGCAAAACAATTTCATGAAAAAACACCCAAATGAAAATCAGAAAATTATTAATTTCTCTGTAACTAACTTGTTTAATGTTCATTGGAATAAGCATTTTGATATACTCCTGTTTACTTAGAAAGTAATAATTTATATAGTAATAGAAAAATATCAAGGTTAAATACAGCAATTGCTTAAAACAATGTTTTGTTTTTATAAATTTGTGCATTTCTTTCTAGCATGAGCATCCACATCCAGGAAAAGCATATTATGGAACATGGCGTAAAGCTTACCTTCCAGATAACAGGGACGGGAGATATGTTGCAAGCCTTCTGAGGAAAGCATTTGATGCTCGACTCATCTTCACAATTGGAACATCAGTAACAACAGGTGCTTCTGATAGTGTGACTTGGAATGACATTCATCACAAGACAAGTGTCTCTGGTGGACCGTAAGTAATTTTTTTTTTGTGGACTATATGGCAGACTCATAGCCATTGAGGGGTTGTCCCTCTCTACCCAGCAGTATTAGTGGATATCCAGGGGCGGATTTAGGGGGAAAACCCCCTCCTTTTGTAAAGTTAATAAAAAGAAAGAAAAAGAAAAAATTGCCGCCTCAGAGGTTATTTTCGGGCATCTAGAAAACAAAAACTAAAATTTCGTGAGGCATGCCCAGGACTCCCTATGGTGGTGTTATCTCAATCCCCCCCCCCCCCTTTTTCGAACATCTCTGGATCTGCCCTGGTATCTGATAGGCCTGAGCGACAATGTGCCATTTAATATTAACTATAATACAGTATTATTATTTAATTCTCTTCAAGTTACCTGATGTGTTCCATAGGTGTTTGGTATCCAGTGACTGGAGTAATAAGTGAAGCACATAAAGGCCTTGATGTGCATTATGCACTACAGTATAACTGCTATATTATTATCACTATTATAATGTAAAGTTGATGTGGGTGTATATCATATACAGACATTACCTATATTTGTGAATCAATTTAATCATTTATGTGCTTTGATATCCTTATCATTAGGAATAATTACGGTTATCCTGATCCGACTTACTTGAGACGTGTGCGGGAAGAGTTGGCAGCCAAAGGAATCAAATAACTGGAAGTCAATAACACTCTCCAAGATTTGCTAACCAGGAACGTTCAACAAGAGACAATGCTGCACCTATTAGCAAGATCAATGTAATTTTACTCTTGTAACGGTATGTTTACTAATGCTGATTAAAATGTCAATGGTTGCCGAATGTCAACAATTAAATAGACGGCTACAATTTCCATTCATTCATTTATTTGACCAAATTCGAAAGTTTACAAATAAGATACTTGTTGAAACAACATGAAAATGACAACAGCAATAAAAATGATTAAAAACAATTAAAACATTGACAATAAAGTAATTGAATCACCCATCATACACAGCCTGCATATTGTTTAGTATTTAGGCACAGGGCAGATGTATGCACACTATTGAGTTATTGCTGTAGTTGTATATTGAAGTCACTTTAATCATACTACTGTATTTATATTCTTTCTGATATTTCCTATACATTTTAGTCGCAATTGTTATAAATTTTGTCTAGGAGGACTACTTTTAATAAAAATATGTTTTTTCCTCATTAAATATGTTATCCTGGTTTAATAAATTACAGATACAGTAAAAATAAATAAATGTCTAGAATTTGAAATGGGAATACTGAAATACAAAAGCAAACAACATTGATATATGTTACAGATATCAAAATTAAGGAGCAAAAACCAAAAAGGCATACAACAAAAAAACTTGTAGCAAAAGCTTAATATAACGGGTAAAGCATGGAAAAGACATCTATCAATTCAGAAGTTTCCCTCTAAGTACAGATCACCTTTGGAATAGGGTGATACCTGTAATTTTCTTTAGCAGCTTTGATCTTTAGTTAGAAATATTTTTGTAATAAGATAGGCATTCATTGAAGCTACAGAAAAGTGGTCTTTAATTTGAGAGGTTTTTAATTAGAGGGAGAATCGTAAAAAAATATTTCTGTTTTATTCAGTAGAATTTAAATATTTTAAAAGGGAGTGTAGATGATCCAAAGGACATTCAATCCACTGTATAATTAGATTCATCAATACTGTTTGTTGCATTTTACAAAAATATTGTTTTCAGCATGACATTTTAAACATTTTTTTGTGAATTGTATTTTAATTGTAAAATGCTTTGTGTCTTTGTATTGCCAGAGGGAAACAAATTTCCAGTTGTTTTATTGGACTTTAAGTCTATTTGCATATATTTGTTTGAGATGATAGAAGTTTGACAGAAATTTTGTGCAAAAATGTTGGTGTTTATATGCTCTATTTTATCAGTAATTATATATTTTATCAATAGATTATTTCATTTGAGAGAAAAACAAATAATGTATTTATAATGATGCCTATTGTTTAATGCTTTTCCATCATATATGCCTATTTGTTATCTTTTAACATTGATTTACTATATCTATGTACCTTCATCAATGTTACTAAATATGTTGTAATTAGGCTAATGTTGTAATGTGGTAGCAAAAATGAAGTCAAAGAAATGAAAATGAATAAATATTATCCAGACTTTGTGATCGATGTAGATTAGGTAAGGCACGATATAGATTAGAAGCTAGAGAAAAATGTAAGACGTTTTAATTTAACAACTTGGACTACTGTAGTGCTGCTTTCTGTGGACCTTTTTTTTAGAGCACTTTAAGTACTACTTGTAATTGATACCTATGTTTAGGCAGTGGTGTGTCTGGGAGTTTTGAAATAGATGGCTGAAGGGGGGGGTGAGGGGGGGGGGGGGCTTGATGATTAAGTAAGTGGAGCATATGAGGTGATTTTTTTTCACAAACATTTCCAATAAGGAAGTTCATGGAGGGACAAGCTTTTTCTTACCACCCTCCCCAAGATATACCACTGTGCTTAGGCCATTACTGTATTTTGAAATTGGCATATTCACCTTGATTCCATTTTTTGTCATTTGTTTGTGTTTGCATGTACTGTACTCAGAAGTTATTCAGTTTTATCAAAAATATTTTATGGCTTGAAGTGTTCACTTTGTTAATAAATAATACAAATACAGTACTGTATTATTGTCATCAACTTTTCATTAAAAATAACTGTCAATGATATTAATCATCAGATGTTTATCATTTGAAATTAGACACTACAAATCATATCGTAAAAACACAGCAAGCATTATGTAGATTTAATAAAGCCAAGGATAAAAAACATAGGATGAATGGTGTCTCGTCTCAAACTTAATTATGCCAATTATGCCAGCTTGTGATCAAAACCACTTGATATCATTTATTGCTTTCACATCGCAACTTAGATTCCATACTTGTTTTTAATTTTGTCTTGAATGTTTATATTCAAACGTATTATTGCTTTTAGGCTTGTATGCTTTTGTTCAATCTTATATTCCATTCCCATGTATGATTTGTCTATTACCAGATCAAAATAAAAGTAAACTAGTCAAATAAAGTGTTTTTAGTTTACATTGTTCCAAGAGAGGATTCTATTTCAAAGATCGAATACCGTATATTATTGTAGATTGCTTTATATCAAGAACACAATACTGTACAAAAGCAATTGTTGATGTCCGATTTTACGTGGTAGATGATTCCATAAATCTAAACAATACAAACTATCAAAATCAATAGGACATATTTTATTTCAAAAAGTTAATTATCAAGATGAATGTTTTCCATAATGCAGAAAATATCAAGACTACAGTATTGTATTTTCCCTGTTCAAATTTATCAGCCAATTTAAAATACTTGTATTAAAGCCACAAAAAAAAATTGTGTATCAGTTACAACTGAAAATCAAGGTCTGTTGGACAGCATTTTTCTTTTTACTAAGCCTAGGCTTTATTGCCGTCAATCATGCATACCAATTGTGGTACAGTAATAAAATGGAAACAGGATTAAACAGAAGCTTTTAAATGGGAGTTGAATTTCCTCGACAGGTCTTGATTTCGAACAAGAATAATTAAAACCGACTAAAGTATAACGCAGATCAAGTAAGCAGTGGCATGTCTACGTTAATATATATTGCACAAAAGATTAATGAATTTTACATACTTTCTAAAAATAATAAAATTATTAGTTTAGTTATCTGGCACACACAATGAACTGAACATAATTCTGATAAAATTTAATGTAAAATGTGCAGCACACAGAGGATTCATGCCTAATGCCCCAGAAATCTATTTCTATCATATATGTATTTTCTACATATTAATACAAGTATACTCTAAAATTGATCAAATATTCCTTTAAAACCACTAAACTGTCATATTTTTTGGGACCTTCAACTGTTGGAACACTTTCAAAAGAAGACAAAAAATCAACCTGTTTGCCAGCAGTTAATATTTTCAAGAATTTTTTAAGGTGGTTGTACATAGTCTGCAGGCCCGGAAGCTAACTACGCTTGAAGGGATCATACTGTATGCTTGGACTAGAATGCATTGGATCATGGGAAAAGTAGCCAACAGTGGCTGCTGAAGCAATGCTCTCTTATATTAACATTCTTGTCTGCAGACACTTTAGGCTGGACTTGTCAGATTGAACAGTTGCTGGATGAGAGAATGCCTAGCCTGTGGGCAAAGAGTGCACCACCAGCAACTGGTACTGTACCCGTCAAGTCAAATTCATTTTTAGTTTTATGAAGTATGATTCTAAAGGTCAATTTAAACGAGATAACAAAAGTGTCACCAGTATCGCTAATTGCTAAATTCTAACACTATTTCATCAGAAGGGTTACTTGGTATTCCTATAGCGCTTATTCCTTGCGGTTTGAGATAATTGGTCAGAAATTGGTGGTTTTAGTAACTTAAAGAATGCGGTGTTGTTGATACTGTACAACTGCTTGGTCGGAATGGCATACTTGAAATTGGCTTAGAATTCTTTAACCTTTCTTTCTCAGATTTTTTCCTTCTGTCGAGTTCTTCCTGCCATTTTTCATATGAACTGCTCGCTTCTTTTTCTCTTTTGATTTTCAAGTCTATTTCTTGTTTCTGTTTGTCCTTTTCTTGTTTTTTCATTGATTTCTTTTGTGTATGTATCTTTTCATCCTTCTGAGATTTCCTGAGATATTGACAATAAATTAAAAAATATATACATAAATAAAATTTATTTAATAATATTCTTAATATTATAACTATTTTTGTATACAAAATATTTTAAAAATTATTAATATCATTATTCTCAACCTCAAAATCATTAATATTATCCTCAATAAAGAATATTATCAACATTATTGTTAACATTTTCATCATCATCAAGGTCACCAATGCCTCCTTCCCAAATGTAGCCATACTTAAGTCAGTAAAACTTTACCATTTTTTGAAAGCGCTAGAAGCATCCTTTTGTTTATCTTCTTTCTGTTTTATTGTTGACTCTAGCTCTTCCCTTTCACTCTTTTGTTTCTTTTTCTGCTTTTCTTTCAGTATTTCATCCTTTGTGCCTTTCCATGCTTCAAATGTCTGGAATTGATTGAATCAATTAAAATCAGTATTCGGAATCAGTATTAAATGAATTATTGTAGAGCAGTAGTAAACTAGAAGTGAGCAGTTTCTATGAACTCAACCCAGGTGTATAAATGGGTACCTGGTAGTATGGTATGGCATTGAATGTATGTGTCGTGCATGTACAAGCAGCAATGACCAGTGATACTCCCCAGGGAGTAGAGAAAGTCTCACCAAAATATACTTTATTGGACTAATATTATAATCCAGGGGCCGGATTTATCAACTAGAAATCAGCTTAAATTCGCCTTAAGTCAGATTTCTCAATATTTCTTTAGCTTAAAAAATGCTTAAAATTAAAGAGTCGACTGTACGCATGCACCACCTAAGACGATTTTTAAGCTATGACTTTGCTAAGATGGCTATTTTCTTAGGGACATCCTAACTTTCTTGACTTAAGACATTTGCTAAACTGATATTGATAATTCCTGGGCCAGGTATTTAAAGCATCTACTGTATGCAAAGAACATGGGAAGAGTATTATTTATGTGTCTGTTAATTGCAACAACATTTTGTTTATCATTCTAGTTTTCAATCAAAATCATGTTCTGATTCTAAGCTCATTTCCCCAAATGGTATAATAGCCTTATTAGCACCTGCATGAGGGGAAAGGGAACATGTTGAACTCTCAAAGATAATTCTAATAGGATGGATGAAGATAAATAGATTGATTGTTCACTACACGTTTGATACCTTTTTAGCCATGATCCTCTTTTCTGCCAATTCTTCAGTTTCCTTTTCTCTCTTTTCTTTCATTTCTGCATCTTTCTTCTTTTTATCCTTCTTAAGCTGCTCTTGTTTCTTCTCGTTCCAGGCTCTGTAGGTCGACAGAGCCTCTAATTTTTTGTCTTTTTCATCCTAAATCAACAAGTTATAATATAGTAACTATACAAATACCAGTTCAACACTAACATAAACAGTTAAATATGCTGGCCTCAACATTCAAGGAGCCTGCGAGTTCATTCAACAGGAAACACAGTGGTGTAATGAAGAGGCCCTGGTTATGGCTTTTTTCGCTCCTATTACCCTGGGTGCTGCGTTAGGTCATAGTGGGGTAGGGAGAATAGCCTCCATCTGTACCTGACATTTTAGATGTCTATTTACATGCTCATTAAGGGGCCTGCTTGGCCATGTTTTAGCTGGAGGCTGAAATGCAAGTTACAATAGCACACCATTTTTCAAGTGAGCATGTTAAAGAACGCAGTACACTATTTGGAAAAGAATAGGGGATTGTCTTCCGGTGTACTGCCCAATCACCACCAGAAGGACCTCGCTGAACTTCGTGGGTTAATCCATCCATCCAAAAAAAGTCTAAATGATGATCTGCAAACCTATGCATTCCTCTTACCTCCATTTTTTTCTTCTTTGCCTCATTCTCTTGTTTTTTCTTTTCCTTTAGCCTTGCTTGAGTCTCTCCATCTTTCCTAATCCTCCACTCCTCATAGATGGCTTGTCGTATAGACGTGGCATCACTCGCATTAAGCGAGTCTCCTAGTCCAGATCCAAAACTTGAGTTTAGACTTGAATTCAAACTAAGTGTTGCTCCTGTCGGTGCTCGTTGTGCCTTTGGCTTAGCAATGCCACTAGAACCAGACGCTGACCTTGCCCGTCTGTTTATCATAAGAAAAATATATATATTTTACTTAATGGAGGTTTTTTTATAATAATGCAAATAAAAAAGCTTGAAACACTGTCCTACTATACAGAAAAGATTCGAAACAAAAACTTACCTATTCGCTGAAGCAGGGTCTCTGAACTTTTTAGGCTGGTTTTCACTGTCTGAATCACTGCGATAACCACTCTAAAAGATAAAAACCCCCAAAATTTTGTGTTCAGAGCTTATGGCTATTGTGTGGAACTATGGCAATCATTTTAAACTATAAAACTCTGTCCAGATTATCAAATTTTCTTTGACAAAAAAACTGTTGTATGCCCATATATAGTCATGATGTGCCTATATATGGTCATGACCATGTCACATGTCAAGTAAAATTTGATAGTCTGGACAGGGCTTAACAGGATTAAGCAGACCTTTAGTCTTCTGCCTTTTGGGTAATGATCATTAGGGTCTTCTTCATCACTGTCACTAAGAACTTTCTTCTTTTTCTTCTTTTTCTGGTCTGAATCCTCCAATGCTTCCAGTAGCGACAGTGTTTGTTTTTTCTTCTTTTTCGATGTCTTTTCGTCTTCTGATGAAGATGATTCAGAAGTATCAAGTAAATTTTTTTTGCCTTTTCCTTTCTTTGTTTGAAAATTAAAAGGTGATGTTTCATCCAATTCTGAATCAGATTTAGTGTGCTTTTTTTTCTTTGGTGTAGTTGGTGACGAGTTTCTTGATTTTGTTTTTCTTCTTGACTTTTTCTTGCTGTTATCATCAGTCTCTGCTTCAGATTTTTCTTTCCCGCTACTTCTTCCAAAAGAAGATTGACCTCTTGTTGAAGCTGACCTAATTCTTGGTTTTGGTGTTGGTCTCCTGGAACCAGGCGATGGAGATCTTGATTTTTGCTTTTGTTTTTTATTCTTCTGTTTTACATTATTAAAATCATCATCGTCACTCGAATCAAATACACTTTTTTTCTTTGAATCCTTTGGTGATGGAGAACCTCTTTTTGGGTATTTGCCATCGCTCACAGACTTTCTCCGTTTATCATTGGATTTATTACTATTAAATGTATTATTGTCCTCATCACTGCTGGAGTCTAGTAATCCTTTAGAAGATTTTACACTTGATACTGAAGATCTTGTACTTCTCTTTCTGTTTGATTCCTTCTTGGATTTCAACTTTTTCTCTTGGTCACTGTCATCAGAATCAAGAACTGATTTTTTCTTTTTTGCTTCTTTCTCCACAAACGAAAACGGTGATTCTGATTTTGTACTTGGAGTTGATTTCCGAGTTCTTGGAGTAGGAGATCTTTTGAGATGTTTTTGATCCTCACTGGTTAATTTTTTACCGATCGGCGAATTGGACCGCGATTTTTTACCGGTGGGAGAATTGGATCTTGATTTCTTACCGGTAGGAGAGTTGGATCTCGATTTTGGTTTAATACCTAAGAGCAGGTCTAAATCGGATGACTTCTTGCTTTTAGCTGGCGAGTTGCTCCGTGATTTTGGTTTCACCCCGATTAACTCATCAATGTTCGGACTTTTTCTCCCCTTTATAGATGATTTGCTGTGATTAATGCTAACATCTTTGTCAGGGGTATTCCTTCCTTTAACTCCTGGACGTTCTCTGGGTGTCCTAGGTGAATCATCATCCGTTGAGTCTAGCGTTTTTTTTCTGGGTCTTGGCTTAGGTACTGGGCTTGAAGTTGATTTAGTTCTCTCTGTTGAATCTTTCTTCAGCAAGCTGAGGAGTGGATCAGGAGATTCAGATGACCTGTTTGATATTGGTGATTTCGCCGTCTTCTTGGAACCAATTGGATCAAACTTGGAGCGAGGAGAAGGAGTTGGGGATGAGTCGCTTAGTTTGCCAACACTCCTTGGAGATGGTACAGGAGAGGGTTTCTTCATGGATCGTGAGGGCACTGAAGGTGGTTGCCATCCTCCTTTAGACCCAACCTTCGCAGTGGTTTTGAATTGTGATAGAAGATCTAGGGAAAAAAAAAGCATGTCAAAACCAAATCATTAAAAAATGGGAAATTATTCAAAATCCTCTTAACAATATCTATTAAAAAGAATGATCATCCATTATAGTATTTTGTAATATGTGATGTTTAAAGTGAAAAATAATTAAAAGACCGAGATTTATAACAGTAGAACCATTTAGAAGACTGAAGCTATATTAAAGAGAGGTTAAGATCAGAGGTCGGGAGATCTGTTTAGCCGATCTTTCTTAACACACATATATTAGTTTTGGTTTTCTGTTCAAGGTGATACTCATCACCACTGACTTATATATATTTTAAATGGCTGTTTCCAACTGTGCGTGCTGGTTTTGGGCGAACCCTAATTTAGAATGGGCTATTATCAAATGATTGGCACACTGTACCATCTGAGCTGTTTCCAAGAGTATCATCGCTATCATCATCATCATCATCATTATCACTTTTGTTATCCTCGTCATCATCCTCCGTGAGACCGAAGTCACTTAATCCTGCCCCTAAGCCACGCTTCCTACGGTCACGTAACTTCGACTTGAGCTCGCTTTGGAAGCTGGATTTACCTAAGACAGAAAAAAATCAAAATCATTGTCAATTCTAACATCTAAAACCTAGCTGCAGTTTATTAATAAAGAATAGATTGGATAAAGTTTATGGGAAGCTTTGATCAGTGGCGTAATACAAATGGGCTCTCGGTGGAAAGCCATGGGCCCCAATCAAAAAAGGCCACAGAGTGTGGGAAAATAAAAGTTGATTCTATGGTTTAGTCACTCAATTTAATTTATTTCTTTTCTAACGATACTGATAATGCAGCACATACACAAAACTCACACAACAGGAGTTTTGCAACAATTTGTGTTATATTTTATACTCTTTAAAACTTCATATATGTAAATGTTTATGTAAGTTACATACCTGTGGTCTGAAGACCAGACCTTTGTGGCGTCGCAAGCATTGTGAATATATTAGTGTTGAAACTTACTGCAAAATATTAAACAGAAGGGGATACTATATTATTAGACGAGACATTTTTAATTTTTTTAAAGATGATCGGAGGAGGGTGGAAGATTTTGTTTTATTATTTAGCAAATAGTTTTGCAAAACATCCAGACGGAGGAGAAAATAAAAATAAAATTTTATTGGCGAAAGTAAAATAGGATGGTTAAATGATTCAAAAATATATATAATTAGGAAGAAATATACATATCTTAGCTTTGGCGATTTCAAGGCAGCAGAAGGCGTAATAATTGGCCAAAAATAAAATTGTATTTTTATTCGAAATCATCAATATTTGCAGTCGTATAAAAAAAATCTAGCCTTACACTAAAGCAATATTATAGGCCTAGCCTATTTATTAGGCCTCGCAAAAAAAATAATTATTCACAGTTCACAACGAATTCATAAATAATGTCTTGTCTGTACTGCAAAAAATTCCATCATGCGTTGGATTTACCAACACGAAAAAAATCATAAGGTGATGTGATTTTTAACTTAATACGCCTTTTCCACGAAGTGATGACAAACAACCCAAGTCAGTGGTGCTTAACCAACAGAATAGAAAGGCTGAATTCTTGTCCTCATGTTATATAAAAATTCATAACTCCATAATACAGTGTCATATAACATTAATTTTTTTTCTGGAAAATGGTCTCAAAATAATATTCTACCCCACTATATGATTGAAAAGGTATCCGATCATTTCGGTCGCACTATTTTGGTTATGCATTTCGGTCGCGGTGTATGGAGCGCCGAAGCCGCAACCGCAAATGTATAATAAGATATCCTAAGCAGTATAGGCCTAGGCCTGCCATTTGTTAAGGACGAAAACAGTCATTTTATTTTATAAAATAAAGGAAAAAAATAAAGGAAAAAAAGTATTGCAAATATACCTTCTAAATTATAAATACTTGGAGTATATTAAACTTTCTTATCTGAGATTAGTCTGGATTTTTCGGTTTTCAAATTATATATTGTTAAAATAAAAACGTATGTACAATATATGTTAAAATTGGGTTTATTTATGTTTAAGATTGACTTTTTTATACCTAGTTTAAAATTATAAATTAATTAAAGTAAAAACATGTATTTTAATGTATGTATCAAAATTTTGTCGGAGCACTCCTGTTACCTCATTAATTTAGGTTCCTACCTAATAAAATGCTTTCAGTTGGACCTTATATATATCGCCAATCTTTAGGAATAACTCCGCTTCCAGTTTTAAGTTCTAGTTTAATAATGGACCGTCTTCAATTAAGGGTACTCTTGTCTCTCATGTTAAATGAATTTTCTTGTACTGATCGTTATTTCATTAAATCTATGTTTTATTGTAAGTCGTATTTTTAAAATAATTGTTTAAATCAAGGTATATTATGTGACAGTGTCAAATATCTTTTATGTATTAATGATTTTGATAGTATTTATAAATTATTACCACCATTTTAATTGTATTGTCTTTGATGGTTTTTAATGCGCTGTTCTGTACATATTGCTTCTCCCTCGGGTGTTTTGTAGAAATAAATAAAAGGTAAAAGGTATGGTTTATATATATTTAGGAGAGATTTTGTATGCCTTGATTAGCGAAACAAGGCGACTGCCGATGAGTAATTTTAAATAAAAAATGAAATTGATGATGAATGAATTTACTACATGAGAGAAAATAAAAGATACAAGCAAGTTACATTATTGCATTTTTTTTTGTATTATATTGTGTCGTGTTCAATGCAACATACTTTTTTTTAAATAATGATTTCTATATTTATCATTGCCATTTTCTCTTTTTCTCTTTATGCACAATTTAATGATGTAGATTGCTTTCTAATGAAAAACGTCCAGCTGATGACATGATTTGTATAACATTATTTAGAACACTACTACTGAATTTACTTTCGAAAAACATTGTAAATAAGCTAGCTTGTACATCATCGGCGTTCCATACCGCGGCTGTGAACCGCGACCGAAATGTATAACAATAGGCCTAGGGCACGACCGAAATGCAGGCGCGACCGAAATGATCTGTATTCATTGAAAAAGGCCTAGCCTAACTAGCCTAGCCTGGCCCGTGCGAGTAGCTAGGCCTAGGCCCACTCAGTAGGGAGGAAAAAGCAGGCGCCTGAAGGGAGAAAGAGACGCTAGGCTAGGCTAGCCTAAAATAGGTTTTATATTCTATGATTCAAGCATTAAAATGACATATAAATAGAGACCATACATTCAATATATAACAAAGCTTAATTGAGTAAAATATGTAACTGTTAAAAAGTAATCGAAAGACCCTTTTACTTACACAATTGAACAACGCCGTGCCTCCGCGCTCTCAATGTTTTGTGTTGCTCAGTTATTCGCTACTAAGTGTTGATAATATACTACATTTGATTGGTTGGTTTTGTAAAGATAATAAAGATTATTTATCCACTATCCAATTAGAAAGCACGATAAATACAGGTAACGTCGTCCGCTACCAACTAGTCTCTTTCAAAGCTTCAACAAAAATGGTTAAATTGCTTTACCTTTGCATAAAAAGCAAATTATTAAATACATTTATTTATTTTAATATTTATACATTTAATTTTTTTTTTAATTACTGTTTTAAATTGAACTACTTAGGTCTACAACAATTAATTTAGATTCTTCCGTGGAGTCCTTCTGGGTAAGGACATTTGACGCTATGGGTAATATTATTGTACTATTGCATGTGTGGAATTGTAGAATATACGCTAAATCTAAAACTTCATAAGTAATAGTGTAAAGTTTTAGTATTTATTAAATTAGTTAGGTTTGTGTCATGAACATTCTCTACGATCCGATTATGAAAAAAATACTCCGATAAAAATAAAAGTTTAGCTGAACTATTTAAATGGAACATGCTGTAACAATTTGCATACCGAATCATAACTTTTCGTGAATCAGAAGTTTGCAAAAGGTGGTAGGCCTAATTAATAATGAAAATATTGTTTTATTATAAGTTTTGCAGTATAAAGTTTTGTGCTTTAATGTCCACGTTCCATAGACCCTAGGCCTACATATATCTTTAACAAACAAGGTTCTTTTCCCTTTTGCTTAGGGACTGATGATAAAGACAGGGCCCCTCTCTCCTAGCTAGCTAGGATAGCTAGGCCTAGGCAGCATATCAAACTAGGGATAGGCCTGAGAGGCTCTGCTACCCACCCCATGATTCCTGCTGTAGACTAGGCCTAGGTCTATAGCTGAACAGATAGGCCTGGGCCTTACCTAGTCCTAGGCCTTGCCTACAGTATGTAGGCTAGATATCGTGAGGGCGGTTGGGATATCGTGAGGGCGGTTGGGGCACCGGGCCCCCACTTTTTGGCAGAAAATATATCTAGGCCTATGCAGACTTTGTATGATCGGAAAGAAATGCCAGAAAAGAAAGAGTGGGCCCCCCTCCCCCACACTTTGAAAAACGTTCGCCGGCCCTGTATATGGGTTGTGTGACTGACATGAAATACATTAAAACTTGCCTATGTCGATTTTGCCTGACTTGAATAATTTCTTAAGATTAAGTCGATCTTATTTTACATGCCAAATTATTTTGATTTCACTTAACAATCTGTAAGTCAAATTTTATCAAAGTTGTACGATTTTTCAATGCCATTTTGGATTCGAATTAGGCAAGCTCAACTGTACTACAGTACTACTACTATTAGGGCCTACTATAATGTAGTCCTTTAGGAGCCTGTTTTTAATAATCCTCATACAGTACTTCCACATTTCTTAAAAATAATGTTTTTTATAAAATAATATCCAATTGATTCACAGCTGATTATGTCCCCTGTATGGACACCAGAACAGAAACCACCTGACCGAACTGCACTATCTTGTCCTTCACATGATGCTCTCATTGTTTTAAGAGCCCTTAGGGAAGCATATAAAAAGAAAAGAGAAGATACATACCAGATCAAGACAGAAGGCAAAATGTTACTTTGATCTTAAATGTACCAATATATTTATCGAAACATGAACTTACATTTATACATTATACATACAGCAACTATTACATTGATCCATTAATAAATCATTTATTCTGAAATTATATTACATCACAGCTATATGCATTTCTATATTTTTTTTTATAGCAGGAAATAGTAAATCAAGTGGAAAATATTATGAAACCCTTTATAAGAAGCAATTTGGAACTTATAATGCGGCTATCTCTTCGGTGTCCTGTGATGCTGTACATGACAGGAACATGGATGATCTTGGTATAAGAATAAAGGAAGAACCAATCAATGACTGTGATCCTTCTCAAGGTTTTGTGAAAAATGTATGTCGGGATGGTGGCGAGGTTTACAGTCAAAATGCATCAAGACAAAATAGATTGGATTTTGCTGCTGGCACAATTGCAGGAGGGAAGGCCTCTCTGACAATGAATCCAGCCATGTCATCCTTAGGAATGCATTCTTATGTGCCAACCTCAGGAATGAATTCTTTTGTGCCAACATCAGGAATGCATTTGTATGTACCAACCACAGGAATGCATTCTTTTGTGCCAACCTTGGGAAGTGATTCATGTGTGCCAACAAATTTAGACCTACAAACCTCAGGAATGAATGCTTATGTGCCAACAAGTGGAGAACCTGTAACCTCACAAATATGTTCTAGTGTGCCAGCATGTCCACCACTCTCAATTTCTGATGACTCGGACATTGAACCGTGTAGTGTATCTAGCGACTCTAATAGATTCAACAGAACTACTGTGTCTACAACATCAAATAGAAATAGTTTAGTATGCCAAGGTGAGATACAAGAACCTCAGTCTAGTTGTATTAATAGTAGTGAACAGTACTTTTCTGCATCAACAAATCTACAACATAATTTTTCAGAAAACCACTCAAGTTTAAATTTAGCACCAGGAGTAAAACACCAGGCTAATATTAAAGTGTTAGGACATGGAAACCATGAGAGAAACCCACTTGGTGGTAGTACACAGACATTGGCAGGGCTAGAGGAACCCAAGGCTAGGTCAAAGAAAGTATTTTCAGGTGGATCACAAAGGCCAGCTTATAAGACTGGATTACATATGTCATCATTGTCAAAGCATTTAATGAGAAATAAGAATCCAGTGGAAAAAGAAAAAATACCCAGAACAAGTAGAGACTGTTCATCTATTGTAGTCACATCGATTAGGCCCAAAGAAATAGCTTTAATAAAAAGAACCAAAAGGCCTAGAAGTATTTATGATAGTTTATCTAGGTCTACTGAAAAAGGTGAAGTTCAGGTATTTGATAGAAAAGCTTGTTCAGTTCAAGATAAAGAGTATGTAAGGTAAGATGCTTGTTCTTGTTAAGGCTCTGCCCATTACTCTCTCATTATATTTAAAACATGTCTGTGTGACTAAATATTAAATTATATCTTTACTACTACTAGTACTATTATTATTATTATTATTATTACCACTATTATTGTTATTAACGTTTTTGTATTATTATTATGGATATTGTTATTTATACTACAGTACTATAGTTATAATAATGAATACTTTAAGTTTATCTAGGTCTTTTTGTGACCTTTTTTTGTATTTTTTATAATTATGATAATAATTGGACTTATACTTCTGTGTTTAATGAATTGAATTTCTCATGTTTTTTATCTTTAACAATTTACTGTTTTGTGTCTATTTGAGGTTTTGATATTGTGTTTTAAGGTTTTTGTATTGTGAACAAATTTTGTGATGCAAACCATTTCAGCTTCGGCTGCTGTTTGTAATTGTTTTATATTTTACCTGAATAAATAAATAAAAGAACTTACCAAAATGTGTTTTGACTGTAGGTGCCATGATATTGAGGGAGTCACAAACAACAAGCAAAAAACAAGACACACTCAGAAAGGCTTTCAGGTTCCAGTGAAGAAATTCAAGGCAGTTGATCAGCTGACACTCCATCAGGTAAAGTTGATGAAGATTAGCAAGAATAATGATGATGGTTGATTATAATGAGTATAATAGAAGACAGGAACATAAACAAGTTTTACTTTTTTGGTACACATTATTAATTATTCATTTTGTGTGTCTCTTCAAAGTCATATGCCAGGAAACTACCTTCAGTATATCCTCCTAAAGATCTGATTGATGTCTTAAAGGCAGATGATTCAAGGAGGCAGCAAGTGGCCTGCCAAATCAATAAAGCAAAGACAGTGGCTTTAACATTAGTCTATTCTGACTGTTCTACACAGCTAAGCGGAGCAGCAACAAAGGTATAGTGCTTAATGTTTTTCCATAATTATGACGTCATCTGATTTGATTTGTCAAAATATGTTGTTATCGCATAACTGATAAATCGTTATCGAATCGTTCTAGTGTAGTAAACTTCTCTTATTTCTTTTATTTTCTATATGAACTATTGCTTTTTAGCTTTTTTATCGTTCTCGTTATCGTTGAAGTATAAACAGGCCTTTACAGTAGCAAAACATGCAAAGATAGTTAATACCAGATTTGAACTAATGACTTTGAATTGGAAAACAAGCACCTTCACTACCAGATGCATCCCACTGTAATTTAATTTTATGTTTCAAATTTTCTACAATCAGTTCCATTCTTTTAAAAATCAGATAAATTAAAACTGTAGAATTTAGAGGGAAATATGCAAATGTTCTGACTGAAATTGTTTGCTGTTATATATTTAATTCAAAAGACCAAGTCTTCAAAATTACACGCAGATGATAAAAGACCTGTTGCTGTCATCCTGGTTGCCATGGCAGTGGAGGAAGAAAGTAAACAGCATGTGTTTGTGCATGTACCTCTTTACAGCCATGTTAGCATTGTGGACGAATGGATAAGGTATGATATTGTAAAAATTTTATTAAACCATGTAAGATACATGAATACACATACTATATCTCATGAAGTGTGATAATAAGCAATCGTCTGTCAGAGTCTGTGCAAGAGAGGATGTCCCACTCAATAAAAATCTGTATTTCTCCTCCTGTTAGGAAACCAGTATCAGTTTTTTCATAATTTTAAGCTGACTATTATAGTACTTTTTTGTATTTTTAAATTAATAGAACAATATTAAATTATTATGTAAATGTTTGAATTTGGTCATCATGTTTCATACTGTATTTCTGTAGAAATAACAACTCAAATTTTGCAATAGTTGTCGACAGTAAAGTGCATATTGCTGGCTCTCTTCTATTATACAATAAACAAAGACAGAACACATCAAGATAGATAGAGAAATTTTATTTTTTAGAAAACTCTTTCAAGATTTGATGTCAAATAGGTCAATAAGTAAAGTGTGCTTTGGTGCTCAGAAACTGATGCATGTTCTGCTTGAACTCTACACATTTAACTCAAGAGAAGGTACTCTGTTTTTTTATTGTTTGAATGTACATTCCAATGTTTAAAATCACATACAATTAAACTTGCCTATGTTGACTTAGCCTAACTCGAATAATTTCTAAGTCAATTTTATTTCACATGCCAAATTGTTGAGTTTTCCACTGATTAACAGTGTGTAAGTCTAATTTGATCTAAGCCAAATAATTTTGTCATTTTGGATTTGACTTTTGGCAAGTTCAACTGTACAAAGCGAAGAGTTTTATTTGCTCAACCTAATGTTTACTCCAGTACTTTATTACTTGAGAAAAATAGGATAATTAATATTAGTATTTACAAATGAATACTTCTTGCAGTGGATTACTCACTGTCAGTTGACATTTGATTGATTGATTAGTTAAATGATTGATGTATTGATATGCTGATTAAATGATTGACTGATCAATTGATTGTTTATTGTTTGATCAGTTACTAAATTATTAACTGACTGATCAATTGTTTGATTGATTGATTGATTGTCTGTCTGACTGAGTGGTTATTGGACTGATCAATTGCTTGACTGACATTGATTGATTTATTTTCTAAATTACTCAACTGATTTATCAATGGTTGATTGACTGTCCATCTGATTGACTGTCCATCTGATTGATTGATTGATTGATTGGTTGATTGACAAGTAGATTGACACTATAACTAGCAATTTAAAATGGAAAAAAACTTGATAATAAAATGTTTATTATTTAGTTTGCAGTAAATGGCAAGTGGATGATCCTAAGTTAGCAGCTTGGCTACTAGATGCTGACCATTGCCCACACACCTTCACTGAACTTAGTGAGACCATCTGCATACAGCAGGCACCAAGTGATTCCAAGGTAACATCTTCAAATGCTTTCCATCTGTCATAGGCCTGTGCAACCTGAAGGCATCTACTATAGTAAACTGTTCTTGTATATCTCTGGGCAAACTGATAAGTGCATGCTCTTATACGGTTCAGTAGCTCCAAGGTATAACTATACATTGAAATTAGGACATAGAGAGCAGATATGAACTGGTGATAGCCACTGTGTGTGCACTGAACCGTGGCGATCTCTAGTTCCCCAGTACAATTCCCATCTCTGCCTCTACTTGTGGTCAGCTGGAGGGCTGAAATACAAGTTAAAATAGCACACCGTCTTTCGGATGAAACGTTTAAGTCATTGGTCCCGTGTATATTTATGGTTCATGTGCACATTAAAGTACTCAGTACACTCTTCGGAAAAGAGTGTACTCAGTACACTCTTCGGAAAAGAGTAGGGGGTTTGTCTCTCGGTGTACTACCAATCACCACCAGAAGGACCCCACTGGAAATATACCCAATCCAATCCAATGGTCCATGCAACCACCTAACAAACCATTTTAGAAATAAAATTTCTGACATTGTAAACAGTTATGTGACAGTGCATCAGATTTTTTAAAATTAGTTATATTTTATATATATTTATAAATGTGCATGTAATTTGTTTAGGGAAGGTATAAGGTGTGTGATGATCTTTTGCACATGCTGGAAGTGATGATACAATTGAGGAGAAAACTTGAAGAATCCTGTCTACTACAACTCTACAAGCAGGTAGAGGTCAAGCTTATACCAATATTAGCAGGTGAGTAACCGACAGTACCAACTGTAGGTTTGGCAGTGCATGAATGTATAAATATTTATACTTCCATATGTAAGTAAATATTCAATATCACATATCTAACACTGGTTACCTTGTATCATGGAGTTATAATTATGCTTGTACAATGTGCTGTGATATTAAACATTGTACCAGCTGAGATAACACCAGATAGGAGCAGTGGCATTGGTAATGATGTTATATTGGAAGTAATAGTAGGGGGAGTGGGGTGTAGTGGCAGCAGCAGTGGTAGTATGGTAGTAGTGGTAGCACCATTGGTAGTAGTGGTGGTGGAAATGCTGTAGTAACAGCAGCAGCTGTTGTTTGGCAATTGGAGGTATATATGGCAGATGTGATTACATTTAGCAATAATTTTTTTCTAATAATTTTTTAATTTACACTTTCTTAATGTTTACAGTGATGGAAACACTTGGTATTTCCATTGATACAAAGTTACTGTTACAGTATGGAAAGACTCTCCAGGTTAGTGTGTACTTTAAGTTGTCTGTATTGTGTATTTGCAAATTTTCTTTTATTCATCGTATGAATGAGCTTTCATTATGTCCATTCTCCTATATCTGGTCATTAAAAAACTAGAATTAAATATATGTACTTTTATAAATGATTTTATTAAAGGTTTACCTTTTAATCAGTAGAACTAGGTAACATTGCCCAACTACTTGACAGTATTTTGCTATTTCTCCTGGTTGGTAATGATTTTTCCCTTGCATTTGTTTTGTATAGGCCTGTGCCTTTGCATTTTCTCATATTTTTTATGTCTCTTGAAACAAAATAAATGAAAGGAAAGTCTTTTCTAGGTTGTATACATCATTGTTTTTCTAATTAATATGTATATAAATTTATATTTTTGTAGGAAAAAATTAATGAGGTGGAAAAAGAAGCGATGGACATGGTTGGTTATTCTTTCAACATCAACAGCAATCCTCAATTAAGACAGGTAAGTAATACTAACTGTATTAATGGAGCATACCAATTTCAGTGGAAGCGTTTACCCCAGTGGTTGAGGCTCAGGGCTCGAGCCCTTGCTGTGCAGGTGGCTTCTGTCCTTGGCAAGACACTTTGTCTGCATTTCTCTCTCTCTACTCAGGAGTATAAATGGGTACCGGCATATGCTGGGATGGTATACATACTCACTGTGAAAAAGAGTGACTGTCCCCTCAAAGCCAAGCACAGTCTAACCCCAACACTCAAGAAAGAGAGATGAGACTTCCGAACTTGTACGTGTTCGACTACTTTTATCTTTACCTTACTAATACCATATGTCAATCATATAACTTCCAAGATTAGCACATTACTATTTCAAAGATTGATTGGTTCACAAGGTTAGATAATTCTTTCAGGTACTGTTTGATGAGCTGAAATTAGATGAGAAGTACAAGCAGTCTAAGGGGAAGGCACTGGCTAGAACTGCAGTCCTGCAGTCTAAATCTACATCTGAGTCTGTTGTAAGTAGATATTGTTCTCAAATTACTTCTCTTACATTCCACATGAGTTCATAATATCTGCATTAATTACTGTATTTCACACCTCATATCTTTTGGCCACACTCACCTTTCTCTCTGTTTATTAGTGCAATCTGATTTCCTTGAGGTTACAACTTATTTTGGTGGTCGATTATCATTCTTTCTTTGACTATACATCTTCTTAGTTCTGACAAAGAGCTCTAGAAATACTTGGCTTTATTATTGTATCGGCAGCCGTTAGGGTCAATATACTCTACTGCCTTTATTATACTGCCCTCATCGGAGCTTTCGAGATTACGAGAACTTGTTTTTTATTAGACCACAACTCTTAACTTTTTGGCCACAAATCTCAACCATTAATTATACGACACCTCTTACCTTCTTGTGTCTGATACTTTCCCCTGGTTATTTTTCCATCTGGGTATTTTCCTAGTATTCATACTTTTTCATTTATGACATGGGAGGGATATCAGAGGAAAACTGTTCATAAGGGGAAAAGCAATCAGAATAGATACTTAAAGAGTAATAGATACTTAAAGAGACAATTCTGGTGTGGTTTGTATGGGGAGAGGGTGGTGTTTAAATAGTCTGTTCCAAATATATGTACAGAGACAAGATAAATATTACTGTTTTTAATAATCCTGCTTGTTATCTCTTTTAGCTGTTGAAGCTGAAGCCATTCCATGGTCTCCCAAGCCTAATCTTGGAATACAGACAGGTACTGTACATAAAGTCCCGTTTCGTTTTTACTATCTGAAATGTTCCATTTCCATGTGTACACATTAAACTATTGATTTTTATTTTCAGCTAGTAAAAGTGAAGTCAACCTTCATTGATGGTATACTGGAAAAAATTGAGAATGTAAGTGTATGCATATCATTTACATAGCCAAGTTTGCCAACATAATTATGAGTTAAATACCAAAAAATATACCAGTTATTATATTGCTAAAAATTGATTTTTTTAGGGTATGCTCCATACATGCTGGGACCAAACTGCAGCATCTAGTGGGCGACTTACATCTACTAATCCAGTAAGTAAATGATATTCTATACCATTTATTTTAGATGTTGAAATTATTTTTAGGTATAATTTATAAATATTTATATATGTTTAACCAATATAATGTTTTTATTAATATGTAATTGAGTCATAGAAACAACTATTTAAAAAAATGAAAATAATTTTTATTTGCACAGAATATTCAAAATATCCCAAAGAAAGTTTTAATGAATGCAATGAAAGATGAAAGTGGTAAGTTTTCATAGAAAGATAATTATTGTAAGTTTATATTTACATATATTTATATTGCATATTATTATAATTTATTTTATCTTTTCATAGTACTGTCTTTATAGGTGAAAAAAAATATTAAATTGGATACTTTGTTCTTTAGTTGACCTTGACACTATCTTTTATTTGTTCCCTGGCATTTTCTGTCAATTGTTCCCTTGCCTTAGTTCAGTCTTATGTTTGGTGTTTGATTTCCAAGCAGAATACTGCAAATCCATTTACTGATTTGTTATTCTTATATACCATTCAAATGTATTTCAGTTTTGAAATAATTTACAGTGTCAGGGATAATTTTTTTTTTATGAGCCAGCATGTTTTCTTTCTAGGCCTAATAAAAATGAAAATACCAGAGCTACTTAATTTGATTGCCTTTAATGGAGCTTACTATTAGATTACAGCTGTGTAAATAAGTATGAAATAAACTTTTAAATTATGTTTATCAATTACTTATCATGATACCTTGCAGCAATAGAGGGCAGTGTCGTCACCATCAAGCCAAGAGAAGGATTCAAAGCCGCAGTGGGTAAAATGCTCATAGCTGCAGGTAATAATGGTTTATAATTTTAGAATTATAAAAATACATTAATTAATAACAATGGTAAACTATGGAAGAGTATTTGCTAAAAAGGCAAGCACTCACTAGTTTTCTCTGTAGAGCACTAATTTATCTGTTGTTATTGTATGATATAATTTCATGGTTTGCATTGTATCATAATAATATTACCGGTAATCTTACCACCATTGTTTGTCTCTGCAGATTTTCAGTCCATAGAGCTCCGTCTACTTGCTCATTTATCCCAGGATGCATCACTCCTTGCTGTCTTCAATAACCCAGGCGTAGCTGATATATTTGTTGAGTTGACAACACATTGGTAAATAAACACACCTCTACTTTGCTTGTTAGGCTTACTGTATTTATTCTGTCAGGATTTTTATCTCAACAAGTTACAACAAATCATGATCCCAATGGTGGTATGATTTTTTCTCTATTTTACATATCTTTCCCATTTAATTTTTTTTTTATTGTATAGCATTATTGTATTGTTGGGTGTGACAGCAATTGGTCCCTTGTAGCCCATAGTTAGACCATAGAGAAAATTCTATTTTCTCTATGGTTAGACTATACCAAGGACCCCAAGCTTCACTGGATGGATCACTCCATTAAATTGTGATTAATAATCACTATTTTCGTCAATTTTACATATTTCTAGGCTAGGTATTCAAAAGGAGAATGTGACACCTATGGACCGGGATCGTACAAAAAGGATTGTGTATTCTGTCTTCTATGGAGCAGGTAAAATTGTAGTCCCTCATTGACACTGAATAAAATATTTCCGGGAGACCTCTGCGTCTTACTGGTGACTTGAGACCCTGTTTTATTTATTTATTTGTTTATTTGTTTGTTTATTGTGGTATAAAATGTACAACAAGCAGCCAGATGGCTGAAAACGTTGAACTCACACACCTCAAAAAGGTGAAAGAAGAACATGAGATTAAAAATATAAACAGCAAATATATATATATATATATATATATATATATATANNNNAGAATAAACAGCTCAACATGTAAATAAATAAGGACATCTCAAAACTCAACAGTCGAAGGATGAATTCCAGCCTATGCAGCTAGTTCGTTGTTAATCAATTGCACTAATGTAGGAATTGGTGACTTTCTAAAACATTCTGTTTTAGACCTAATAATTTTCAGTTTGTTTATAGAACTGTTTCTTAGAACTCTAGATGTCTTACGAACAGGAGGAAGCATTTTTCGATATTTGTCTGACATCATTGATTTTTTCAGTGATTTAATTCAGTGATCTGTAGTGTTCAACTTATTTAATATGTTTAGTTTTAATAGTGTAATTGGAGCTACATCACAAAGTTTAAATCTGTGGTCTTACCTGATTTACAGGTACAGAGAGACTTTCAGAAACATTGTCGGTTACCACAACCCAAGCTAAAGAATTACGTTCCAGCTTCCTAGGTGAGTGATAACACTATTTATGTGATATAAAATAATGCTTTTACCACCTACTAACAATGGATTTTAAAACTGTGCCCCTCCCCTGACATGTACATTCTGTTAATATAAATCATTCCATTGTACCATCATTTTTAACATCTTCCTTATTTGTTGCCAAAATTTCTTTTAATCCTTCATACAAAGCATTTATTTTGTTTCTTGAGATTATAAATTCTGAATTATTAAAAAATACTTCAATCATTTTGCAGCCAAGTTTCCGCAGGTAAAACAGTTCACAGCCGATTGTATCAGAAAATGCTGTAAGCAAGGCTTTGTGGAGACCATCTTCCATCGACGTCGATTGCTGCCAAACATCAAATCGGCCAACTTCCATGACAGATCGTTTGCTGAGAGGCAAGCTGTTAACTTTGTAGTTCAAGGTTTGTATATATTTACATAAGTCATGTATGACTTTAATTGTGATGATTTTCCCATCAAGACTAGCTTTTGTTAAACTGAACAGATAATCAAAACAAAGGTCAGAAATTCTATGATAATTTGTACAAATTGTCTAACCATTCAGTCATCTATCGTATTCTAAACCTATGTCTACACTTATCAAATTTTACGTGACAAATAAATGTGATATATCCCTATTTCGGTGTAATATGTCATAATCATACACATTTGTTCAGGATGTTTACACTTTTAATCATCATAGAAGGATAAATATTGACTGGCCACAATAATCTGTAATGCTGATAAAGCAACTTAAATGATTGCTTCCCTAAAAGTAGAAAAGTATGGTTGCTTTCTAGACTACTATAGAGATTATACTAATTGTAGGCTTTGAAGCACCATACATTGCAAGATAAGAAGTATTACCACAATACCTTAAAATGCAACATTTTTGTTTATGATTATAAATTACTTTTATTATAAACAGGGTCAGCTGCAGATATATGCAAGAGTGCTATGATTGATGTTGTCAGTGAACTAGCCTCCCGACCAGACTTGAAGACTCAACTCCTTGTGCAGATACATGATGAATTACTGCTTGAGAGTCCAGATGAAGAAGTGAACACTGTTACAGGTACTTCAAAAAGGCTGGTGGATTAATCATAAACAAAAGTATAATCAACATCAATAAGTAATGATTTCATGTCATCAGTGAATTGTTTTAATAATTCTACTGAAGTTTAGATATCTTTGTTATTGAAATGATTTTTTTCAAATCTTCTCTTGTCCAGATTTATACAGGCTTACAGTTGATATTATGAACACCTCATTCTTTCAATTCTCAATTTTTTTTTTTGTTTTTTGCAGAGCTTTTGGAGTCAGTGATGGAATGTACAACTCATTTGTGCAGCTCCTTTACAACCCTCACGGTAAGAACATAAATACTGAATTGGATGAATCTACTTATGCCAAGTTTATCTTTTGTAGAAATTACCTTAGAAAATAATGGAATCATCCATTCCAGGGCAGGATTTCTTGGCTGTGCATGTAATTCTGCACTGGCTGATATTGTTTCAAACCATTCAACATGGTAGCCATTTATACTCTCGGGGAACTTAGAGAGACAAAAGTAAAAAGTGCCTTTCCAGACATAGCACAAAGTCAACTTGAGCATCAAACTTAAACTTAAAAACCTTTAAATGAAAGTCTAACATGGCCTTACTGCTGCACACATAATGCTAAAATAAAGGTTACTAATTAAGTATATTTTAATGGCTGTCATTAATTTGCCTTTTGTGATTGACAGGTCCCAATTCCAGTGTCCATTACTGTTGGAAAAACATGGGGTGACATGGTACCGTGGAGAAAATACACTACCACCAAGTAGACCATTCATGGTATGGATAAGATATGGTACACCAGCACCGACTAGATGACACCACTCATTTGTTACACATGTTACACCTGTACAAGGGAGTTGCTATACCGAGTATATGACACAACTCATTGTTACATATGGTATACCAGTACTGAGATAACACCACTCATTGTTACATTTGGTACACCAGCACTAAGTAGATGACACCACTCATTGTTGTTATATGGTATGCCAACACCCATTGTTACATATGGTACACCAGCACCACAAGGATGACAATACAGTACATATTGTTACACATGGTGCACCAGCACTGAGTGAATGGCACCACTGATTATTGTTACATAGTACACAAGCACCGAGGGGATGACACCACTCACTCATCTATTCATATGGTACACCAGCACCGAGGACACAACTCATATAGGTAGTTACACCTCCATGGTTACACATGGTACACCAGCATCAAGTGTATGACACCACTCGCTGTTACATATGGTACTGCAGTACAAACACCACTCATTGTTACATATGGTAAACCAGCACCGAGTTGGTGACACCACTCACTGTTACCTATGGTACACCAGCACCAAGTGATGACACCACTCGTCACATATGGTACAGCAGTACCGACACCACTCATTGTTACATAGGGTAAACCAGCGGCGAGTTGGTGACATCACTCGCTGTTACATATGCTACACCACCACCAAGTGGATGGCACTCATAAGATCAGAGTACAGTATATTGGTGTATGCTGCTCAGTTCATTTAAATCTTTCAAAATAAATTTGTTTGAGGCAATTTGTATTAGTTGATCATCTCATCATCATTATCACTATCACCGTCTTCATTAGCCTGCATGAGTATTTAAATAACTAACTTGTTTAGGATATGTACCATCATCAATATCAATGCATTATTGGTACGATTATTGTCTCTTTTTACTGTATATATTCAGGGTTGCAAATAATCAGCTTTGGCTGGTCGAACCACCCTCACAAGATAATACAAGTAATTAAATATTTGCAATGTTCAAATAATTTTAAAACGTTACAAATTAATATATATATATATATATATATATATATATATATATTAATGC